TTCCAGAGTATTTCTCTCTCTCTCTCTCTCTCTCTCTCTCTCTCTCTCCCCCCCCCCTCGTTTAGGTTCTCGTAACGTTGAAAACTTGTCGCAAAAACTGTAAAGAAATTGGACTGTCTTATTGAAGTTGCAAGATACAATTCTATTTCAGACATGAAATAGAATGTCAACAATAAATTCCCCGATATATTCATACCTGGACGAAGTTAGCGATATTCATTGTTGGACAGGCTGATTGCAGCGAGCTGTGGAGTGGTAGATACACGGATAGAGCGACACGCTGTAATCATAAGAGTAGGTCGCGAAGACATTAACTCGCGCTGGTGCTTCGTGTTGGCAGACCGCGTCGACCCACTTCCCTTCCTTTCATGCTTTCTTCCTTAAGGCAAAGCCGAAGACACTAACGAAGGCTCGGATGAATTTCATAACCTACGAGAAGTCCGCAATGACTCTATTACGCTTCGCAGCTTTTCATTTTTTTCCTTTTTCGCTTTCTTTTAGTCCTCGCGCTCGTCCTCGCGCTAGGTCTAATTTTCACAACGCGCTTTGCTGCTACCTTATTTTTATCTTTTTCTTCTTTCTTATATCTGCATGCATTCTTTCTTATATATACACGCATACGTTTCCTATACAGTTGCTAGAAAGCAGAATCCTTGTTACATCCTTTTACGTGCTTACTTTTTTTTTATATAGATGCCTTGGCGATAGAAAGTACATAATTAATTCCACGAACGTTCGTTGCAATTACGAAGCTAATTTAATCGTGAATATGATACCGTTTATTTGAAGAAAACGTAGCAAGCGGAAAACTAAAATGTAGTTAAATCTGTTAATTATTATATCTGCAATTCTCTCAAAAACGATGAAAAAAATTTGTTTACATAAATATTATTTCAATAAAATCATATTCAGAGAGCAGCATAAAATTTATCAAAGTAAAATTAGAAAAACTGATGAGAAGAAAATTCCAATAATGGATAGTTAAATATTTCAATTTTAAAAATCTATAACAGAGAGTGCTTGCTAGTGATAGGTAATAATTAAATGCTAAAGTGAGTCAATCAGCAAAGTATCGATTTGTTAATTTCGAGCGTCGAATAAACTATTCCTGCTATGGCTCGTTTCCTAGTCTCGGTTAGGTAAATGACGGTAAACCGTAAATACTCGCAGCATCGTCTAAGTTGGACCAAGGAGAGCGGATAAGGGGAATCAGCAGCCTCTTGAGCTAGTATCCGTTAACTCGAGTCAATTACTACAACAGAGATCCATGGTTCGTCGTGCACAGGAGTAAAGTGATCTCTCGGCATGCTTCAACTTTCAATTAACTACTATGGCACGATAACAAACAGACGGGCGATGACAGCTGAGACCTTAAATTTTCTCTTTTATAATCGTATTACCGCTTTTACAGCTCAGCGACATTATTGCATTATATTAAGTTACAAACATCGTGCATGGCGATAAATCACTTCTTCTTCATCCAGTGTGATTTGGAATTGTTGATATAACAAATATTAGTTATAGTTTATCAATATAATTAGAATTACGTTTTTATGTCAGATAGTCAGATTTCTTGATATCTATCGCGTAAAGTTTTTATCGGTTTTGATTGTTTTTGTTTCCAGGATAGATGCAATTGCATCATTGTGGCATTGGTGGCATTGGTTAATATCGGTGCCTGTTGTACATCGAATAAACTAGTAGTTATATTATGAACCATCTAATTCCATGCGTCTCGAATAATTGCTCTCTTGTTCCGATTGGATGTGACTCGATCATTTATTAAGCGGACGCTAATAATTCATTGCTGGTAATTCGGAGCGTTCGCAAACTCGCACGAATTGATGTTTGCATCCTTAATGCATTTCCACGTCGCTCCGGTGCACACCGGCTTAGACGCGATTTGCGCTTTGCGGAAACTCCGTGTAGGTAGTTTACGAAACAGGGGCGCTTCGCATGGCTCCCCCGTGAAGGCTGCTGTTGCTCGATGTAGGTCGCGCGTTAATGACCAGTGCGTAGCGACGAATTCAATTGAATCGTCGGTTTCGCAAGAAACGAGGATGTCACGCGTGCGAAGTTTCGCACAATGCGTATGACACAATCTTACGTTTTATTCGCAGGTCTATAATTTTAAAAAATTCACTTCCTGGAAGAGAACGGTCTACCTCTGAAATTAAATAAAAACAATGACTTCTGGCAATTCAAATAACAAAACGGAAAAGGACAGATAATTTCCATCTGAAATTACCTGGAGAATATATGTTTACCTGCTCTCCCTTTCTCCCTTTTTCCCTGCAGCTTTAATCAGAAATTAAATTCTTTAATTTTTCATGCGTTTATAATTCAGGAATTTTTAATCCTTCGACATGTTTATCAGAGAAGAATGTACTGCAGTTTACGGAAAGAATTCGTAGCTAAAACAGAACGCGGGACAGAACATCTCATATATCAACGGCGGCGGATTAGGAATGGCGGCCTTAATAAATCGGAGCAATCTCGTCAAAATGGACATGGCACGACGTATTGTCCGAACCGGCACTCGTAATTTAGGACAGATCAAAGGTGGGTCGGATGGTTAAGGTTCGCAGAGACGATCGGTCAGCAGGTCCCCAGGTGTCAGGTGGTACCCGGCCTCTCCAGACGCGAATCACCAGCACCCGGCCAGTCGCCACCATTTCCACATAGGAAGCGACTAATGTCCTCGCTCATTTCCCACGATATATAGGCGAGTGCCGCATCGATTCTCGAAGCACCATCCGCCTGCCCGACGCGATATTAATGTTTAACTAGCGCAATCGTGTGTCTGATACATTACCGTTGCTCCCGGGGTTGAAATTGTTGCGCGCTGCGCTACACGCCCTTTCCATGGTGGTACACGTTACGCGAGTACGAAACATGCGAATTGCAGAATTTGTCGAAATTGTTGCGCTACTGCTGTTATTGCAATACTATCGTGCGTCGAGTTGTCTTCTATTGTTGGCTCAGTGCGTAATTGGAATACTATGTTGTCCGACATTTTCAGATATTTGCGAATTTTCAAATTTACATGACACAATTTTTATATTATAATTTTAATGAAGATTACATAATAAAAAAAATGTATTTTTTCGTATGTACATGGAAAGGACAGTTTTTACTGAAGTATCTAAAAATTTAGCTACACTGTGTTAAATTCATAATATCAAATATTTTTTTACCTAATTTGAACTATTTTTTATCATTTATGTAAGTCGCCACTGTTCTTACCTGATATAATACGTTGTATATATATCCGATATATCTTGATTAACAACCAAGTTAAATAATTTAAATTAAATAATTTAACTCAAAAAATTGTATTAAATTTTATTCAAATTTAGTTTATTATCAAGTTACCTAACATATATATGTTAATTGGACGATGTTTACTTTAAAACTAAAACCATAGAAATTGATTGATTACATTTTAACACAGACGGAAGTTAAAAATAACAAAATTCTTTAATTTAAGGAATTTAGTTATCATTGCTTTTTTGATATCTAACAGTGTAGATACAGATCTGAGAATAATTTTGTTGGTTTATCAAAATAATTGCGTAGGAATTTCAAGCATGATGAGCAATGTTGCAAAAAATTTTAATTTTCTAGCAACAGTTTGAACAACCTTCTACATAATTATTTTGATAATCCAACAAAATTATTTTCAGATTCTGTATCTAGCTAAATTTTTAGTTTTAATATTCTAAGTTTTAATATTCTAGCAAAGTCATTTCGTTCATATAATCATATACCTAGAAATATATGTTATATATTGATTGGATTCTCATATGCCTGATGTTATATCGATTACTTTTTATTATCACGAGTCTTTAACGTGTTGCAACAAACGTTATTTCCTATAGCCGTGGGCAGTCTGTCAAATTATGGGTTAGGTACTTGAAGACAGGCTCCTAATTCCGTCTCTAATAATCAGGGCTAGTTATAAATGCCCGGAAGCGCTTTGTACTGTCAACCTTGCGAATCGACCAAATGGCGAGTACGTTATAGGGACAGGCGTCCACCGTGAATGTAAATATTTGCGATAATACAAATTATATTGTACCTATATATTAAAGAGAAAATAGAGATTTGTGATTTTATATGCACATTAAACGTTTCTGGCATTTCAAATATTGCGAAATATTTAAGAGAGATTTTGTTTTTTTAAATTCAATTATATTAAAAGAGAAGAAAAGGAAACTTTATTGAAATCTGTATAAACCTCATATACTATTATATAATATATACTGTATTGCAATTCCTACGATACTCGGTTTCCGACGAGCTTTTTCCACATTACTCGTGAAGCAACAGATGTTTCCGAACAAACTAGAGGAAGAATGATGACAAGGACAAAGAGGGAGAAAGAGAAAGAGAGAGTTTTTCGTTAAACTGGAGCGCCGCACCAGTGCGAACTTTCGAGTTGTTGAGAGCGAATATTATTCTTATTTTATTCGCTGAAGGCGGCGAAAGCGGAAAATTCTGTCTGTACTTTGCGGTTCGAAAACGAGTTTTCTCAGTTCGACAAATAATGACCGAAACTCTCAAAATTCGAGAAGCCCGGGAAGCTCTCAGTTTCATGAGAACGTTCCATTTTTCTCTAAAATTACGTTGATTACATAATTCCACATATTTGCGAAGTGGAGAGTAGATGGAACAATATAGTGATGTATGTAAAAAATATAATTTTTACTGCTCCATGACTCTTCAAATTAAATATATTTCACTCTACTATAAGTGGAAAGTAATCTAGTTACAGAAAGGAAACTTTAATTTACGGTTTTTCAAACTGGAATACTTTTACGTGATATTTCAACAAATTAGCGATACTGGTTGTCAGATTCTACAATTAATCATTATTATTGTTGGCGTTTAGAAAAATGGGAAAATGCGCTAAATCGTTGATCCGAAAAAAACAAAATGAAAACGTTTGGAGCAGTAATTAAGAAGTTATTAAGAAGTTATATTTGTTGTGGTTTCAGGTTCGCTGGGCACGTCGGTATTCGACACGGACGTGTATCTCGTCGGAGCGAGCGGAGGCGTTTATGCTCTTCTAGCGGCGCATCTAGCCAACGTCCTTCTCAACTACAACAATATGGAGTTTGGGATAGTTCGGCTCATCGGCATCTTCGTCATCGGTAAGTGGACCCTACTTCCTCGATCGTCGGCCCGCAACCACCAGAGCCAATCCTATCTACCTTCGACCTGCCAGCTCGATATCTCCGATCGAACTGCTTTCGAGAGCGTTCACGATTGACCAATGGCGCAAACGGTAGTAGATATTGATCATGTCTGTTCCTTGCTAACGGTTAAACATTACAGAGAAATTATCAGAAGTTAAATAAATTATTACAATATAGGGTAAGATGATACAATTTCGAACGAAATAAAAAATTAAATCCAATTTTTGAAATTTAAGTTTGAGTTTTTCCTACCCTTCAATATCCTTCATACGATAAGAAGGAATCAAAATTGAATCTCGAAAATTGGATTCAAATTTTGTTTTGTCCAGAATTGTATAATACCATGTTCGAAATTGTGTGTACCATCTTACTCTATGAATTATTACTTGACAAGTACTGTTACAAATATTACAAATTCACGATGTAATAAAGAATTAATCCTCACTATGGAAAATGACTTTTATAAAATTATAACGTATTTGTGATGTAAATAAAAGAGGATTAATTTTATGAAAAATTTAAGAGAAATAATTAAAAGCTGAGAGGAATAGTTTCTGAACGATACCTCATCTTTCCATTAGTCTCTTTACAAAGTAGTGAAGACCTTCAGAGTCGCGAATTTACAGACACGTTCTTAAGGATTAAAATGAAGTATCTCGGACCTCCGAATACAATACAATCTCAGAACTCGGCGCCTATGGCGGCGTAGTGTAATAATAGCGCGATATTGGCAAAGACGTAGACTCTAGGATCGAGGACCTGTATAGCACGTAATCTGACCGCCACTGTACGTGCACATTATCTGGTTCTAGTGGCCCTAGAGTCGCCTCAAATTCACCTCGACGGAGCCTCTCGAGTCTTCAATAACCTTGTTTAAGGGGTTGATTACCGTCAACGCAGATTCGGATATCCGCCGTCGGTTTCTCCCTCTCTGTCTCTCATTTTCCCCTACTCGCACCATTCCCAATATAGCCGCATAGTTTCTATCCGCGGGTGGTAACAGCCCGGACCCGTTCCGATCTACGCGCTTCGACTTGGATTACATCGTAATCCCAGCGCGAAAGCTTGACGGGCGAAGTAGAGCTTGATCGATAAACGCGCTCTCTCACGATGTGGAAGCGGGTCATCCGTTCAGCCGCGAATGCAAATGACGCTCTCGCAGGAGTCTGCGACGTGGCGAGGTGTCTCCTGTCTCCTATAACATCTTAAGATGCGAAGAAAGTGCGCCACTATCAACTGCAATCAGAACTCTGTGATGGAATGAGAGAGAGAGAGAGAGAGAGAGAGAGATTTGAATTTTCATATCTTAGAACATTTCCAAATGTTGACAATTCCGTTTATTTAGGGTAACAGATTTGGAAATGGGATTAATTATATATTAGATTTATTAAATCTAATAGTGATATCGAATTTATCGATTTAGATATCGTTTTAATATTCTTTTCGCGATTCACTTTTATTTACTATCATCTAGTCGTTCGATTTCCTCTACTCGCGCTTCGTTTCGATATACTTTTCCTGAAATTTCAATTTCCGCTTTTTTCCCCCGTGATAAGAGCTGAAAAGCGCAAGGGAAGGAAGAGCCATGAAAGCCGTCGCTATTTTGAAGTTTTAATTAAAAGATAGGTGTGCTCGCCGCGAAGAATTTTCACCGACGTGGAGATTGTTTACCATGAGAAGAAGGTAGCTATTCCGTCAATTTTTGAAACGAGCACGATGTCGACACTCGTGTTTATTGAGTCATCAAGCTCGCACCTGAGTAAGCCTGGTTGAAAATTAAAGAAGAGATGCTGGTATTCAAAGTTGATGGAACAATAGCGGGTTGGAATTCATCTCGATGAAAAAAGGAGAGAAAGTTGGAAGGAATTAAATAAATTTTCACGACGAGGAAATTGCAATTTTAATTATATACGTAAATGTAATTTAGATGGAGGTGGCATATAATTATTAAGCGAAGTCTACGGAATAATCGTATATCGATCATGATTAATTTTAATATTGAAACGGATGAGGTCTACAAATTACTAAAAGTGCTTCAGATATAATAATGTATAACCCAATATTAACTAGCTAATATTAACTAAGCTTTCATCTAATAATTCTATCAAAATTGGATTATATAAGCTGAAACGGAAGATAGCATAGAATTGGTATAGAAATGAAGGATATCGCTTATGATAAAAAAGATACGATATCATATTATAGCATATTATATAATATACTTATAGATATAATGATGATTGCAGTCGAGAAAATAATTAAGTTAGAATAGCGGATGGAAAAGCTTGGAGAGAGTCCAGTTTTTGTTACTTCAAGAGTTGTATAACTCAATCTTAATATCCAAGTTAAACGACGGCAACAACGATATAAAGAGATCGCGTTTGAAAACAGAGAAAGAAAACAGTATAAAGGATGTACATCAGAATTCGTATACTTCCTCAAAGTTTTAAATGTTTCGATAAGTTTAAAGTTCATATCTTGTTAACGAAAATTTTAAACTCAATTGTAGAATTACTAAATGTCGAAAATGAAATATCTCTTATGAAAGGATAATAAAATATTTTTTTCTTTATATCTAAATTATATTAATTTAATTTTCACGTAAATTAGTTTAGAACTTAATTATTAGTTATTTTTCAAGTTTTTTTTTATAGTTTTGGTATACAATATATAATTATAAAAATTTTAAAGGACACTATAACTTTATTAAAATAGAAATCTCTTAGAAATGTAAGACCTTATGAATTACTCATATTTAAGAGAATCTTTAAAAGAAATGTAATAATTTGCATTTATTAAGGAAATAAAAAAATTTCCTAAAGAATGTAGATTCGTAGAAGATGAGAATACTTAATGGATTGCGAAACTAAAGACGAAAATCTGTACACTACATTAACTAAGAAGTAAATTATTTACGAATACAACAAACTTACATAATCATCGACAATGAGCGCAAACATAGAAAAAAAGCCGCTACAGGAAGGAAGCTGCAGGAAAGTTCTTCTCTCGACGACACTTCGAGAGCTTCTCAAAGCTTACCGTCGACTCTTCGTGGCATCCTTACTTTTTTGCTCTACTCTCTTTCGCTCTACTCTTCTTTCTTATTTCTCTTTTTGTTCCTCTCATGTTCTCTTTATCGCTTTACTATGCATTTTTATCTGTACTTTCAAAACACAACTAAACAGAATTTTTAAAAATATGCCATGATAAGTGCATTATTCCTTTATTCGTTTTAAATTAATCTGTTAATCTGTCTACACTGTTGTATTAATGCCTTACTAATTGTAAATTCTACTAATTTGAAAGATAGTAAAAGTAAAATCAGATTTCAATTTAAAATTTAATAAATAAAACAATTTAAATTTAGATACACTGTTAAATGTATAGTCAAATTTAATCTAATGTAAGTCGCCACAACTCTTACTGAATGTATCATTATTTTATCCATTGTTTTAATATAAAACAATGGATAAAATAACAATATATTGAGCAGGAGCAGTGGCGACATAATAGGTTAAATTTAACACTATAGATCAGTGTAGATAAATTTAAATTGAGACACGCGTGGAGAAACGAAATATTATATATCATGCGTAATAATTCTAAGCAGGCAGTAACAAATTTCCATGAAAATTTGAATATTTCTGATTACAGCCAGCGCCGACGTGGGCTTTGCAATCTACGATAGATATGCTGCGGAACAGATGGGTCCGCCAGTGTCGTACGTCGCTCATCTGACGGGTGCCCTGGCGGGCCTAACAATCGGCCTCCTGGTACTGAAGAACTTCGAGCAGCGGCTGCACGAGCAGTTACTCTGGTGGGTTGCCTTGGGTGTCTACGCCGCCTGCACAATCTTCGCGATCATGTACAATCTGATGCACCCCGACTATCCATGACGCGAGGTCAGCTTCGCGTACGGCCAACCGAGGCACACGTAACGCGAAGCTGATCGCCCTTGGAAGAAAAAGAAGAAGAAGAAACGAAGGAAAAGATGGGAGAGACCGTCGTCGAGTAACGACGGAGATTTTCAAGTATCCCGGACTCTCAATAACACACTAAATCGTGAGCTAAATCGTTCCCGAAGCACCAAAAGCGAAGGATACGTAAGGAACGAGAGTTACGCGACGGAGTCGACAGTTGTTCTCTTCAAAGAACGTAACTTCGATCGCTTTCCGTGCGAAAAGGATCGCGTAATAGTTTCGTAGTACATATATTTTCTTCCAAGCCGGCCTGTTCGCGCGCGACAGTCAAGAGAAGCGACGGAGCGCTTGTCGAAAAGAAGTGAGAAACGAGCGAGGAAAGATAATTTATTGTTGATTAAAAAATTCTAAAACAAATGAGAAAAATTTTGAACGGAAGCAATAACAATCGGTAAAAGCAAACGCGATGTACTTTTGGAAGAAGGAAGAAACGGGAAGAAGAAAATTGAGCGAATGTTCTCATTACGTTTCATCTTTCCTATTTGATAACACAGTAGTCCGCGTTTGTCCTGCAATCCCGTGAAAGCTTCTTAAACGCAACGTGCTACTTCATCATGGAGGAATGCGGGCAATTTTATGAACGATGTAATCATAAAAAAATCAACTTAGACTCGTGTTCTCCTGTATCATCAGCGGGACAAGGAAACGTCATTGTAGGAAGATGGTCATCCTGAGCCACGATAAAATGTCTTTGCGTGTCGTTCTAGAGAGCGACGGGGCAGTGCACGAGAAAGTTACGGATAATATTCTACTTCGTCGGTCTCCGGGAAAGAGGAAGTCGCGTGATCGCGAGACTAGTCATCCAATCCCGTCGTCGCGCACTCTTCCGCATTCTGAAGAAAAACCAAAGAATCGAGCTGGATTTCAATGAAGTCGGCTGGCAATCCGGGAAAAATAAAATTCTTCAGGAAGGAGGCATTTCTCTGCCTTCTATCCAAACCTGAACAAGAGGAATTCTCTCTCATGGCGTTCGTTTATTTCCGCGTAATGCTGGCCGCAGTCATCCTCGGAAAAACCAAAGAATCATACTCGACTGTGTGGACAACGTTTGTTGTCCTTTGTCACGTTGCTGAAGAAGTTTCTTTGCTCGGTGACGAGAAGAGGAAAAAAAAGGAGATGATGATGATAGAAAGAGAGAGAAAGAAATGGAACAACGGCGAAGTAAAGCAACAGAAGAGGTAAAGAGGAAACGGGTGGACTTAATGGATCCTTCGCGGTCGATGAAACATTGTACAAATGACCGCGACGGAGAGGTACGAAGATGATGAAACAAAAACCGCGGTCGAGAAAATTGGTAACCATCGACGTTCCTCTCGAAACCCTCTCGAAACATTCGACTCGCAAGACGAATTTCGTGGACGTAGACAGAAATGTAGAAGAGCAGAATACATCGAGTTTGATGATGAAGAACTCGTGCCGATGGCAGATTTTTTTCGAAAGCGATGAATGATTAGCCGCGAAAAAATTTTTGCAAAAAAAGGACAAATTACTAATTGATCGTTAATTCGATAGTGTGAAGAATGCTGTTAATCGCGCAAATAATTATGAAGTGTTTATGGAAAATAATGTATCATTTATGAAACATATATAATGATCTGGAGATACTGGTAGTGTCTCAGCGCTAAGATACGCGCAGCGACACTATCGTGGCTACTTCTTTTTTTACATTATCTGCTAGAAAGCTCATTTGTTATGAAGACGCTTCGAATTATCACGAAGATATCCTGAAATAATTATAATTTATTTTGTATTTCTCAAACGTACAATTCGAACTTCATAATCATGCAATTTGACATCACTACTATTTTCTATAGATGCTTCACAAATGTGCACAATTGTCGAGTTTATGTACAATATTATTTTTTTATAATGTAAATTCGCAAAAATTCCAAAACAAAGATTGCGACAAAGATTCGCTAATATTCGAACATTTATCATCGCATATAGACAGATAATATTGATATAATCGATCATAAGAATGCAAATTCCAGTCACATAAAATTCATCCAAATAGCCGTTGCATTTTTCCAGCGTTGTAAAGACTCTAGGAATCGACATGACGAATGCGTGCAAAAAAAGACATTGTTAACTCCGCGCTTGCGAAAATTAAATCGTCTCCGAACGCAATGCCGTCGAAATGCGTACTGTATCATTGTAAAGAAATACTATTTAATATTGCAGAAAGATAATATTTCGAGATAAGCATTGGACTATTATTTGTGTACATAAATCAAGCAACGTTTACGCATCATTTCGACGCGCATTGCAATTCGTGCGGTTGTAATTTTCGTGAGAGCTCTCGCGAACTTTCCGCATGATGGACGTAATAATGTGCAATGCAACGGCGATCAAGCCTATGACAAAACAATACTCGGCCGATCTGTTGGTCGGTTTTCAGTCCACGCTTTCGATAGCGACCGCTCGTTAACGTCCTCGCAAAATCCCCCTGACGGCGCATCTGCCTGCGCGCGCGATCATTAACGCGCATTAATTGTACACCATTGTAAATATTTGTATATAGTATAGAGACTCTGTGTGTATTTTGCGTGTGTGTATGGAGCACAAGTAAAGAAGAGAGGCGCGAGACAGAGTAAAGAAGAGAAAATCAGAAGAGGAAGGAAAGAAGAGAGTTCGAGTCGGGTCACAATCTAGTCGTTTCGCGTCGTTGTCGTAAGTATATATATATACATATACAAATATACATATTGTATTTAGAGAGAGAGAGAGAGAGAGAGAGAGAGAGAGAGAGAGAGTGAGAGTGAAGAAAAAGAGCCGCACATTCTCGGGAGAGCACACGCTTAATGTAAATAGTCACACGCGAGACATATGTTCCTCACCTTTAATTTATCATCGTGTCATCGTGTCTTCGAAATCAGATCGTACGATTGCCGCCCGCGTGACTTGCAACCTAAACGATAACTATGTCGACGATGGCCGGTATTCTCGATTTGTTTAGCGGCCTCTCTATGAGCTGTCTAGACTGATATTTTCCCAGCGCGTTTAGCCGCAAACATGATTGTTTGATTTCCATGGAGAGAGAGCATTTATTTGGTATATCGTCGCTACATTAAACAATTACCAATTAAATTAATCAGCTACAAATTGATTCCACAATCACGAATTCAAGTCCTTTTGAACATAACAACGATATAAATTGGTAAAACGTTTATTTTTTTTAATTATTTTTCTTATTATATAAAAAAACAGAATTTAATTTATATATAGAATTATTAAAAAGTAATGTATCGCTGATGACAACTGAGATTACGGAAGGGCTTATCTTTGTTCACCTAGGAATATGGAAAATGTTAACTTTACCTGAAGGCTCATTTAGCTTTGAATGCGCGATGACTGATAAAGTCCAAAATCGGAAGTTAAACGCGGCGCTGAACAAAGTTCGAATACTGCGAGCTAAAGTCTGTATAGTAGTTTGGATAGTGTCGCGATATGTGTCTCTCTAGTATTTAGTTGTATAGGTTGTTTGTTTTGCGAGGTAGCCCGACGCACTGCCTATTTTGTAATACGACTTAGCGCCATGCGCGCCTTCGTTTTCCTTAAAGTCCGCCGTTCAACTTGTGTGTTACATAAATTCCGTTAAACGTTAATGTCCACATTTTTCTATACTTTCTCGCGAAATTTCTTCGCCGGAAGAGAAAAAACGCGTTTGATTTCGCGTATGTGTTCTTGCGTAATAATTAATTAGCGATTATACTATCATATTTCTAGCGACGACGCGCAAACTTATAATTTCGCGAAATCCTATATTTATTTTTTCGTAAAAAGAGGAAACCAGCTGTGTTGTTCACGAATCCCACATGTACGAAGCCCAGTTCTTTCCGATACTTTTTTTGAGTCTTTTCCTCTAGGAAACCCCACGCGAGTGCCACGGGATGAAATGTGAAATCGTCAATTAGTCGACGACTGAAAATTATTTTCCTATATTTACGCGATTTAAGGTAGCGCGTTTAACGTTCAGGAGAAAAAAAAATCGAAACTCTGCCCGGTAGGTTTCTCATTATTTCAACGGGGATCAAACTAATGTATTATTATTTATATTGCATTGGTTGTAGTGTAATAACGCTAATATACGATACCAAATAATATATAAGATTTAGTATGAAACAGTAATATATATTATATTATTTTATTAATATTATTGTTAATACTATTGCTATCGCATTTTTCGTGGCACCAAGGAAGAAAGCAATTTTTAATGCTGGCGTGTGGTATGGCCTCAATGGCGTAAAGAAGTAGTCCTTGGAGAGAAGTAGAAAGAGCGTCAAGAGGACGCGAATCGAGCGCGTGAGATCAAACGAGAGTAATTAACGATGCTAGTCAATTAGTACTCGCGAAGGCAGCTAACGCCAGATCCTAGCTTAAGATGGCTATGTAAGACGTTTTAAGACGATGAAAGAAGGTCGAGATACCGATGACGTTGAGGATGAAGGGTGACGCAAAGAAGAGAGAAAAGGAGGAGGTCGAGGGGTCTAAAGGTGGTTGCTCAAAGAGTCGAGGAGACGAAAGAGAGCTTCGACGGTTGGCTGGCTGGCTATGTCAGTCGACAAGTATGTACTTGGCGGAAGAATGCAAAAGGGGAGCAAAAGTAACGTTCCTAATAGTAGGCGGTCGCACACGTGTACAGCTCTATGGTTGCGGCAATTATGGTCGAAAGTACCGCATATACGGGAGTAATACAAGCATTTTCAATCTCCGGCGGGAAAATATATATGATTTATTATAAATAAAACTGAGATCGTTTTTCATGAATTTTATTCGTACAATTTGATATTCTTGAACTAATAGAAAAGGATAAAAAAATAATTGATTAAGTTGGAATTAAATGCATTAATATGCTGATAAATAACTTATTTAAGTAACTTACCAAATAAATCACGTAAAGCAAATTAAGGTTTTTATCTTTTGTACGCATAATTGCCGTTAAGTCAATAAACATTACTTGTGTTGTTATGCAAATAAATATAAATTATTAAACGCAGAGCAAAATTATTAAGTTTGTACCGATTAATCGAACGTGATTTTCGTTATGTATGTATAAACAGCCTTGTTAAATATTTAATTCGATTTACTTCATAAATGCGGCAACGATTTGAGTTCTTTTGAAGTGGTCCATACCTTTCATAATGCTCGATCGATTCGAGCTTCCGTTAATTATCATCGTTGTTAACGATAATTTATGCATCGATGAAATACAACACCAGTCAAAAACAGCCGCTTTCCACCAGGAAAATCGAACAGGTGTCGATCCACTAGTTATTAACATCCAACGGCGAAACATAATTTAGAGACTTCATATAACATTTATGGCGTATGATTTCCATTTTATTAATCCACCGTTGGGTTAAATGACGATACCAAAGAGCACGCGCGGCACATAATTATTTACACACGCTCGAATGTGGAAATGAATTATATGCCCTCCGAAATCTCTCGTAAATGATCCGCGTAATGTGTATACTTAAATACACATCGAGATGATGCTTCGTCAGTTATACATCCAACGGCGTGGATTAAAACCGCTTGAAGAGAAAATACGTGTGTCTGAGTAATCTTTACACGGAAATTGCTGTTACATCGACACTACGATATTTTGTTGCCTCAGCGAAAGAGGAGATCACCTCGAAATTTTTTTCAACATTCGAGCGAGTTAGAGATGTTTTCATGAACGCTCTCATTTACAAACGGGCCTCAACGAACAAATGTCAAAGTCGTCTCGGAATCGAATTTTCTTATTAGCACACATCTGTCACCCTTCCAAAAGCGTCATCGGATTTCCGGTCCGGGTGTCCAGTGAGCCCGAAAGAAACGAGGAAAACAATACCGGGAAAACGGCATCTCGCTCGAAGCTATCTGGACTTTAATTTACGCTCTGGCACTCGATCCGCGCCCGAAAGCTCGAGCTTAAGTCACTATATCTTCTTTTTTTTTGTTTTCTTTTTGTTTTATTTAAAAAAAGGGCGGTGCACATTCCGCCCGAATGCATGTACGAATTGCGTGTGCGTGTGCGTCCATGAGTGTTAATATTTAAATCAAATGGATATGAGCGAATATTATGTTTGTCCGCAACGATCGAGGATCGTGAAGTCTACGATGGAGCGCAATGATTAAACTCATTAGCTTAATTCGTATGTATTTTTGTTCCTACTTTTTAGTTAATTTTCTATAACTCTGT